CCCACTGCTGCAGCCCCCCAGCTCTGTGCCCTCCTCCTGCCAGCGCACCCCCAAAATCTCTCCTAGTGGTGCAATGCTATTTTTTTTTCCTTTTCTTTTCTTTTTGGTTGTGTTTTTTATTTTATTGTTTATTATTGTTGTTTATTTTTCTCCTTTCTTGCCCCAAATCTTTCCTGCAGCCGCCACAGTTTGCTCGGTGCCACCCGAGGCACCTGCGTGGGTCCTGCGAGCCCTGGGTAGAGCCTGGGGGGGGGCTCCCTGCCAGCACCCCCGTCCCCTTAAAGCCACCCCGCTGATGATGATTTCTTGTGTTTTCAGCCCAATTTTCCCCATCCCATGCCGGTTCCTGCCCCGCGGTAGCCGGGAAATGCACGGGGGGAGCTCCAGCCTTCCCACGGTGCATCCAGCCCTTGTCCTGCCGGGTGGGATGTCGGGAACATCCCAAAAACGGGCTCTGGGGCAGAGCCCATCAAGGGTAATGCTAACGCTGCGAGAGGGGGTTTTATCCCCAAAAAGGGCAGGCAGGTGTAGGGACAGAGCAACCCAAAAAAAATAAATATGCAGCCGGGCATCTGCATTATTTTTGGCATCTTTGGTCGCCGACCTGCAGCACCCAGTGGGTTTTATCCCCGTTGAAGGCAGTGGGTCCCACTGGGAGCTGCTGTCCTGGTGAAGGAGCGATGGGGACAGGGACAGGGAGTGTGGCTCCTGCCTGCCTGGTTCTGCAAGAGCTAAAATGCCATTTCTTAGCAAAACCTCCCATTTTTCTCACCTTCCCCTCAGTCTGTCCTGCCACAAAAAAAACCTCTGTTCTGTTGGTGACTTGGCGCTGGGCTGTGTCGGAGGGACCCGGCCACCTTCAGCCACTCGGCTTGGAGGGACCCTGTGGATCATCTCCTGGGGTCCGTGGGGGTCAGGCGGGTGTTGCTGTGGGGTGTGAATGGTGTTGTGGAGTCAGGTTGGACACGTCGGGTCCATGCATGGCTCCAGGGGTGGCCAAGTGGCTCCTTCATCGTGTTCCAAGGACTCCAGAAGAGCCGGAGCTTGACCCGGGCAGCACTCCCGGGTGTCGTTGTAGTTGTGAGCTACAACTACACAACCTCTCACCTGTGTGCAGACTGCACCGGCTGTAGGAACCCTAGGAGATGCTTTGTGGTCACCTACATCTCAACACCTGGGTGTTGGTGAGCGAGTGAGTGCTGCCCGGGTGTTAGAGGGGGGGAAATGCAGATGTGGTCCCTTCTCTCGTGGGACAGGGCTGAAGATCTTATCAGGAGGCAGTTTACAAACAGTTTTATGGCTCTAAGTAGTGTGTGTTAGTTTTATGGCACTGTTGTTGTAACACTAACGATAACTGAGGCGTTTGGAGGGTGTTTATGCCGGCGTGTGTACGCACGTGTCGGTAAAGAATATTTATTTCCCTTTCCAACCTCTCCTATTGCTTGGATGGCTTAAAACTGCTTTTAATTCTACAGTTACCTAAAATCCCCAGGAAAGCAGGCACGCACAGGGTGAGCTGGCAGGAGAGGTGGGTGATGGTGTCCCCAAGGGACCGAGGTTTTCCCCCGTGAGTGACATGCTCTGGGCACGAAGGCTGCAGCAGCTGGGGATGTGGTGCTGTCTTAAAACTATTGCTGATTTGTTAGAAACTCACACTTTGAAATAGTTTTCAGATGTCACTTTGTTTCTGCAGGCTTGAAGTGCTTTTGTAATTTGATTTTTTTTGTGTGTGTGACTTTGGTTGGAGGAGGAGGGGAGAGTCCCCGCTTTCCGCTGTGGAGGAGACAGCGGTGAGCTCCTCCAGCAGCGTGAAATCCTTCTGAGAGGGTCCGAAACACATTCGGAAATGCCCCTTCAAACTGAGTATCTTCATAGAGGTTTTGATGAATGTCAGGGCCGTTCTTTTTGCTTCCCATCTGCTCCCACTCTGCCCCTCGCCACCATCCCCCAGTCCCTCCCCACCTCTGGCCTCTCCCCGTGCCCATCACCCTCACCCAGCGTGAGGTGTGTTGGGTTATGAGCCTCCCCTCATCCCTCCTCTTGGCATGGAGCCGTTGGGAATTTGCTAATCCCCTTCTCCTGTGGATTCCCTGCAGCCCGCTCTCTCCTTGTTCCCACCACACCGATGGTCTTTCCGTGACCAGTTTTTAGCAGGGAGATCTTCTGACGTGGGGTTTCTCCTCCTTTCTCCTCAGGCAGGTGGTGACTGGTGCTGCCTGGCTGCCCGTCGCTGCCCGCTCGCCATGGCCACTCCAGACGTCAGCGTTCACATGGAGGAGGTGGTGGTGGTGACAACCCCTGACGGCGCAGTGGATGGAGGTGGCGTGGAGGAGGTGAAGACGGTGTTGGTCACCACCAACCTGTCCCAGCACGGGTAAGAGGTGGGGTTGGTGTGCGCCAAGGTGATGTGCTGGAAAACCTCCCACCCGTGATCGTACTCACCTGGGCTGGGTGTATTTAATCACCTACTACTTACTCCTGCATCAATTATCACAGCGGGGACCTCAGCCATGCCCTGGCAGTCTCTGGTTCCTCGTTAGGTCCTCACTGATGCCCCTGGGACCATACCCAGGGCTGTGGGCTCTGCAGCTCTGAGCTTACAGGGCAGAGCAGGCTCCACTTCTTCTGTTAAATCTGAGTTGCCACTGGTGGTTTTAAGCTGGTGTCACCCAGGATAAAAATCAATGCAACAGTTTTTGTATGGATGGGGGAAAATGTCTTTTAAAAAAACACCAAACCAACAAAAAAACCAAACGAAAACATCTTTTCTGAGTGGATGTAGATGTTGGAATGGACACAAATCTGGTTGGAACAGGACACCAGTAGCTAAATCAATGTGTTTTATGCTATTTATTTCATTATTGCTTCATTAAGCTGTGTATCTCCATGAGATGAGTCTCTGCTGGCAGCAGGGTGAGTGTGGTCCCGCAGGGCTCCCCTTCCCAAGGGGTGTTTGGGGCTGTGGTTTTCAGGAGAGCTCTACAGGAACCTCCTCTGCCCCTGCCAGCAACAGGAGTGAGAGAGGTGGCCTTGAAACCACGTGGCATTGGAGGGAGAGGCAAAAACACGGAGTGAATGTGTCTGATTTTTAAAGTCCTGCTGCTTTGCCCAGTTCCTGCCTGCCTTATTGGCATTTCGGATCCGGGGCTGCTGTTCATTCAGGTCTGGTCTGTTCAGCTGCAGGTTGGTCCAGTCTTTGCTTCCGTGGCCAAAGGGCCTGGCTGGTACCTTGAAGGCCCATGTAGCCGTGGGCTCTTTGCTTTATTTCTCCGTAGTCTTTCCTGGGCCTGTGCCCAGAGCCATTTAAGTGCTTTGTGGGGCAGAAAATCCAAGTTCACGCCTGGAGCTGGGTCCAGGCAGGTTTGTCTGATCCAGAAGTCACTGCACTTGAATTAAGTGGGTAGAGAGCGGCTGTTAATTGCTGTCCACAAAAAGGAGGTGTTTGTCTCCTTTCCTCAAATACACCCTGTTGTTTCTATGTTGGTTCCCTGTGGCTGGGGGCAGGGCAGCGGGGCGCAGCTTTTGTGTTAGAGCATGGGCACTATTCCCCCTGTTCTGCTGTAACTTGTGTAAAACTCATTAACAGATGAAATTATGGCAGGGAACAGGCAGGGGCAAGAGCTGTCAGCGCTGGGGCAGGCAGCAGGGACACCATGGGCAGGAGCTGCTCACTCCTCCTCCACATCCTGGGTCTGCAAACGCTTCCGAGAGCCTTTTCCATTCCTCAAAGAGTGGGAGATGGCGGGGACAAAAGGCTTCACTCCTCTTGCTTTCTGGCCCTCGGTGACTTCCTTAGCTCCCTCGGTGGGGAAGCAGCCACACGTGAAACTTGGGATGTGGCTCTTCATGGATGTGGAACAGTTTCTGGTTTTACTGTGGCTCTGAGCCCTTGCAGCCCCACGTGCAGGAACATGGATCATGGCAGAGGCTGGCTCAATCGGTTTGGTTTCTTTTTGTTCTTGTTTCCTCTCCTATTTTTCTTTGGAAACCTTTTTTTTTTCATCCTCCCAGTGTCCCCTGGAGGGTCAGGAGCAGGACAGCTCTACACAGCGGAGAGAAGATGATTTTTATTTAGTTGCAGCTACGAGCGGAGCATATTTTACTAGGCATGAGGAGATTCCCTGAGGGTTTTCCATACAGCTCTCTGGAGAAGGGCCAGTGGGCAGGCTCTTTGCTCCCATGTGCTCCGGGGTGGCAGTGGATTGATGGGAAGGACGTGGATCTTGGGCTCATGGAACAAAACCCGCGGGACTCCCCTCGCTGAGCAGGGCAGGGGGTGGGTGGCAGCACGAGCCACCCATGGTCTCTCCGTAGCCTTGGATGGTTGCCTTGGCTGGGCTCTGCTCCTCTTGGGGAGACGCCAGAGCGGGGCTGGCTCCCTCTCCCTCTGTTTTCCCTCTGCAGCCCCAGCTGGCGTAAGGAAAGTGGCTGGAAGCAGGGGCTGGGATTCCTTGGCTTTGGCTCAGTGGCTGCTGCGCGGGAAGCCAGCTTTGAACTCCTCTTGTGTGACACTTAAAAACCATGAGGCTGAGGTCACGGCTTGAGGGGCTGGTGCCTTTTACTAGTGCTCCTTTGGGTGCAATTTTGCTCATCTTAAAAAAAAAAAAAATACAACCAATGGTTAAGAGTTAAATAGTTCCTGTGTTTTTAAGGTTGATTGGAAAAGGAAGAGGGAAATGGGGAAAATAGTAATAATAAACAAGAAGCTTTTCTCTTTCATCTACGATTGGAAGGAGTCTGTATTTGATGCTCTGATGAGGTGCTTGTATTTCAGATCAGCATCCCCAGTGCAGGTTTCTGGTGGAGACTTTTTTCTCTCTGAAGTTTCCAGGCAAGGCAGGAGGGGAGGAGAAAGGAGATGCAAGCCCGCTGCTTTATCAGCATGCACTTCCCTCTACTCCTCCCATCTGGTTTGTAGATCCTCCCAGGGAGGAAGATGAGAGCCATCCTCCCCCGGCTTTGTCATGGCAACCGGTGAAGGCAGGACCAGCTTGGTGGGATGCACCGCTGGGGCTTGGAAGGCGTTTGAGTTTTCTCCTGCATCTGCCTCAATCTGCTCCTCTGGAATGGGATGGGGGAAGCAGCGTGGGGAAGCAGTGTGGAGAAACTCACCTTTTCTTGTGGTTTTCTTTCCTCCCCCCAAGTTACACGTCCATGGCAGACACAGACTTGTTGCTTGAATTTTTCATACAAGCTGTTGAAGTTGGCTTGTTTGGTGTTTTTTTTTTTTTTTTTTGTGGAGGATGGGGTTTAAGTGTGGGCTGGGTTATTTCTCCCAACCCAGTAATGCCTTTCAGGCATTTTTTGGAGCAGTGCTGATGCGATGGAGTCCTGGAGAAAGTTGAGTTTCAGGTGCTGACTGTCTGCTGGGGTGTTTCTTTTTGACGAGCCGGTGTAGGGTTTTGGTCTGGTGGCTGGTGGAGGCAGATGAGAGTCAGGGCTGTGGAGAGCTGGGCTTGGCACGTTGGGATGTGGCTGCCACCTCTCGCAGCCCCGGCTCCCTGCTGAAGTGATATTGCTGGCTTTTCTCCAAGTGCATCTGGAGAAATGCAAGAACCAAGCAGCAAAGTGATGAAGAAAAACCGGATTACAATTCTTCCATTTTTCTCATGTCAAACTGCTGCTTCTGTAATAGTCACCTGTGTGCAAATGCATTAGTTCTGAGTTTACCTTTTTGAGTCCTTCCGTGTTATCCATCACCTTTCCCTCCCAGGGGTCTGGGTTGTTGGTTGCTGGGAGCTGCAGAGGCAGCCTGATGTCCTGCAGTGCTTTTTTCCTCAAGGGGGGCTGCCTTCAGCTCTCGTTTCTCTGAGCTGCATCTCCTGAGTTACTCACCTGGTGAGGCTGAGCTGCCACCCACGCCGTTCCCTTATCTCCTACCAGGTACTTGCCCTGGGGCTGGCAAGGGGAGAGATGCTTTGAAGCTGCAGTTTCACCCTGGAGCTGTGTGTTAAGAGGCCAGGATGGAAAAACCAGTTGCTCTTGAATTTACTTGTCCCTGTGGCACTGCGGGTGGGAAGTGTGGTTGCCAGCGAGTCACTGGGACCATTCTTATAATTCACTGGTGGTACCAAACTGGGGTAAATTTCAAGTTTATTTTCTCCTTACAGTCTTCCTTAGGAAATTTATATGTTGAACTGGTTTCCCCCCCATGCTGGACAAGCTTGCTACAGTAATTAGACATCTTCAATACCAAAACCAAACGCACATCTTAAACCCCATCAGGAATGGTCCATGCTGAGAGCTGGCCGTGATGCACGGGTCGGATCCACACGGGTACCAGCGTGGGCTTCCTCCCTCGTGTGGGAGCTGAGGGGGAGAGGAGCGTGTCCCGGATCACAGCCCTAAATGCCTTTCCCATGGGAGTGTGCACCGGAGCTCGTTAGAGGGGCCTGGGGCTCTGGATGCTGCAGTGAGAGCTGGAACGGGCAAACAGTGAGGGTGTGGGTGCTGTGCAGGACCAGCTGGGTGTCTCCATCAGCAAAGCACCAAGAGAAGCTGGACATCTCCAGGGTGGGCAAGATGAAAGCAGTCGGATATCCAGCTATTAGTTAATATTATAGGTATATTGAGTTGTAAGAGGCTTGGAAATTGGACCACGAGGGTCTGTAGCTCACGTTATGTTATCTCTGCTCATGGATCTGCTGCTGGGGTTTGTTGAACTCCTTTATAGTGTGTTTGTGGCTCCTGGAGGTCCTGCTCTCTGGGAGCATCCCGTGTATGAGGGGATTCA